CTCCCGCTGCCTTTTTGAGCCGCCGGCTGCTGGAAGGGGCGGCCTGTGCGCGGAGCCAGAAGCGGCAACTGCAGTGGTCACTCGCAAAAGCAACTTCGGGAGCCGGAGACTGCGGCATCAACTAGCGAGGGGAGAGGCGGCCAAGCAGTTGCAGAGATGCCCGCAGACTGGCTGGGAGTCGCTTTGCTGGGTAAGGATGCGGAGCCGCTCCGAGCTTCGGCGAAGCTGTCGGTTGCCTAGGGGCCAAGCCAAGCGACCCACCGACAATCACTTAGGATGGCGCGGGGCTCGCATGCTCCCAGCCCCGCGAGCGGAGGGTCTAGATAGAAGGGGGGGACATCTGCCCTCCCCTCTCCACTTGCGCGTGCCACAACTGCAATTCCCTTGGTCCCATCCCGCCGATGCTGGGCTACCGTCCCCACCGTGAGAGCCATGGGGCGAGGGTGGGATGGGGGAAAGCGCAGGAGCATTTTCTTTTGCATTTGCTGTAACGAGTCGGGAGACTTTTTGCTCCAGCTGGCAGCCTCTTCTGCGTGCCTCCTTCATTCCTCTCTCCCTCTCCCTGCCGGTTATCTTTTTAAAGATTCTAGCAGAATCCCAGAAAACGCTCATCAAGTAAGTACGACATCACAGTAAGATTACCTTTCCTCCAAGAAAACTCTCGCTCAACTCAAGCCTCAGTGCAGCAGGCTGTTCCTCACCTCCGCGGCCCCCCCACAGCCCTTCTAGGCTTTGTGGCAGGGACCTCCGCTGGCAAAGTCAGTGCTGAACTTCCTGAAACCGAGGTGGGGAGTGAGTCCCCTGCTGCTCTGAGGAGTTCAACCAGAGGAGCCAGAGAAGAGGATCCGAGGCATTTCCTTCCCCCTCTTTAACTGGAATGCGAGAGTATCCCATCTAGGACCCCTGAACAAGTTAGAAGGATTCTGGTTCCCTTAGTCCCAATACTTTCTCTGGAAAGGCACAGGGAGAGAAGCATTCAGGACAGCCAGATGCGCCTTGTAGTCCCCCCTCCTTTAAATTAATTCCCTCCTCCTACTGAGAATGCGAGTTCCTAATTCAACTCATGAAAAAAGAAAAAGAAAAACAAAAAATCTCACTCTACTAATGTTAGCAAGGTCAGTCCTTAGCGGATTTTTCCCCCCTGAATGGCAAATACTTCTAGTCAAAGAGTTTGTAGTGCCTGATAATTATTTCTGGAAAGAATTCAGATATCTTCCTTTAATTACAAAGTCCCGTCCCCCGCCCCCCCCCCCCCGCCACTTCCTGGGATCAGTTGTGTAATAAGTTGCCCTTTGGGGGCTGGGCAATTGCTCTGCTTTGGAGCCCCAGACAAGCAAGAGGCTCCCTGGCAGCCCCCTCGCCCACCATACTTGCTTTGGCCAACCTGCTGGAGACAAGAGGCCTGCTGGATCCCAGCCAAAGGTTTGGCACCTTGCAGAGGTCAATCCCACTGAATTGCTCCTAGCCTGCCTACATCTCTGGGCACCCAGGGAGGAAGTGGATCATGGCACCACTTCCCAGTCTTCTATGCTGCAGAGACCAGGCTGGATGACTCTCTGGGCAAGGACCAACAGTGGGCTGGTGCCTCTAGCCAGTGATTGCCAGAGGAGGCCGAACCAACTGAATCTTGAGCCAGGAAAGATCAAGAGGCTCTTGGTTGTGAGAATGGCTGACTCAGAGAGGAGAGGGCAGCTCTCCTTGCCTTTGAAAGTAGAGGCTTGCCCCTTGGGTCTGCTGCTGAGCTTGGCCTGGAGTGAGGTTTCTTCCGTGAAACATCAGATCTATCCATGGTGACGCACCTTAGTTGCTTTGCTGTTAGGTTCCCTTTGGGGGCTGAAATGGAAAAGCTGCCATTGGCTCAGATAGTTGGATGGGTGGAACTGAGTACATATTTATTCTGTTTGGTAGAGATATCTTCTGCCTTTCTTCCAAGAGCTGAAGGCAGTTTTTCTGAGTCCCTTCTTTCAGCTTATCCCCATAGCAGCAACCTTGTGGGATGGGCTAACAGAAAGCAATGGGCCCAAAGTTACCCAGTGAGTTTCCATGGCTGAGAATGGATTTGAACCTGGGTCTGCCCAGTCCAATCCCTTCCCAACTAACCCCACCGGGCCTCTTCCCTGGGGGTGTTTATCTTGAATTCCAGGTAGTGGGAACATTGGCATTGCCCTGGGCCTAGTTCACAAGGATGGGGTAGGGTGGCCCTGCCATTATAGGCAGTGCTTCTGATCAGCAGGCAGGAGGGCCTTGCTCGTGGCAGCTGCAGCCAAACTCAGAGCCCCCCTTCTTGCTAAGGCCACCAACACATTTTTTCTGGCATGCTGGAACCTGCTGGTTGGCCATCCAGCCTTTAAATTAGGTCCTGCCCTGTTTAATTTATGCTGGACTTGATCTTCTCTCTTCATGTTTAGGTTAAAGGAACAGATTAAAAAGTGGTTTTGTTGCTTCCCTGGAGCAAAGTGGGAGGCTGATGCCTTTTTAATATAGACAAAGAAAAAAGAGCAGCACTTACTCTGGAGTTTTAAACTTGCTGGCATGCAGGATTGCCTGGCAAAGCCCTTGATGAGGTTCCCCTGGGATTGCTTTTCTGGATAATGGAGTCACATGGGTGAGGGGGAAAGAAGAACCTGAGGGCTCATGCATTGGCCAGGACACGTGCTCAGCTCCATCCGAGAAGTGGCTCTTTTGCCCTTCTGGCATTCCTGTATTCCCTGGAGGTGCCCAGTGCTGCAGATTAAACGAGATCCTGACCGACCACTTTGCAACCACACCGGGCAAGAGCAGCCTCTGGAACTTTCAAGGCCCCACAGAATCAACAGGATTGTGGTGCTTTACAAAGGGGAGGGAGGAACAGCCATGCGGGCTCTGCTGGTTTGGTTCTGGTGAACATCATAGCAAGGCATTTCAAGGCAGAGCTTTTCCAAGTGCACAGGCCATTCCTGTGTCCAGAGGAATGGCAGCCTGTTCCTTGAGGCTGCCTGCCTGTTTGAACGTTCTGGGTGTCCAGCCTGACATGCCGGAAGGGCTGGGGCCCATGATTGAGTTCCAATGAGAAGCAGGAAGAGATCTAGTGGCGTGGGTCTGTCCAGTGGCAGCCGTGGTCTCTGGGTGAACGCAAACTCCTGAGCTGTCTGCAACCCCAGATTGACCAGCACATACAGTCTGGGTAAGTCCATGGCTGTGCTTGAGAGGACAGTAGTAGCACCCCCAACCTGTCTCTCTGGCATAGCCTCACATCTGGCTCCCTGAAGAGCAGCACTCCTTGCAATGGCAGGGGGTCCTGGTAGACAGCTGCCATTCCCCCTTCCCTGGAACACAGCTAGACAATGCTTGGGGAGGGGGATTCTTTCAGGGTTGCCCTCATTCATGATCAAGTTTAGTTCAAGGCATCCAGCAATGCAGTGTCTGACTCAGGGATGGAGATGGCCCCCCATCTCATGCCCTGGTCCCGAGTCCCCTTCGTTGATGGGATGACCTGGTCAGCCAGTCCTGCCAAGATCAGGGCTCGCTTGTACCCATGTAAGGAGGCTCAGAGAAGGTGCTGGAAGAGAAGAGCAATTTGAGCAGGAGCTGAGCTTGGAGAGTCCTTGGGCCATGAAAGAACACTCTTGTGTAACTGACTCTTCTCTAC